CAGAAGAAATGCATACAAAAACAAAATAACAAATATATAATACAGACATCCACAGATATATAAGATAAATTATAAACACAAATAAAAGATAAATAATAAAAAGGATATATGTGCAGTGCAAATATAAAAGAAGAAGACAGCCATAGGCGACAAATAACAGAAAAATATTAATTTAAGTTAAAGACATAAAAATAAATAAATATAAATAAATAAATAAATAAATAAATAAATAAATAAATATAAATAAAATAAATAAAAATTATTATAAATAAAATAATTATGAAGGTGATGAATTCAAGCAAAGAATAACAAAGCGAGAGACATAAAACAAATTAAGCATAAATAAATAAATACATATAAATAAAAATAAAAAAATAAATACATATAAATAAATATAAGTAAATAAATAAATATAAATGAATATAAATAAATAAATAAATATAAATGAATATAAATAAATAAATGAATATAAATAAATAAATAAATAAATATAAATAAGTATAAATAAATAAATAAACGTGGATAAACAAATAAATGTAAATAAATATAAATAAATAAATAAACGTGGATAAACAAATAAATGTAAATAAATAAAAACAAATTAAAATAAAAATAAAGAGAGAAAACATTTATAACAAAGCAGACTGAGTATTGTATACTAGCCTCTCTTAGCCGAACAAACATAATAAACATATATATATATATATATATATATATAAATGTATAGATGTATATATATATATATATGTGTATATATATGTATATAATAGAAATATAAAAACTAAATATAAATAAAAATAGAAATAAAAATAAATAATAATTAATAACAAATATAATAATAATAATAAATAATAAATAATAAATAATAATAATAATAATAATAATAAATAATTAATAATAGTATTTAAGTGAGTAATACCTTAGATAAGAAAGCATCGTACATATCTCTTTTTTGTCTCGCAGCATCTTTAACAATTGCGTTAAATGTATCTCTATCTAACCGCCAGAGTTTACAGTTCTGAACACTTTTAACAGTAGCAGCTCTAGGCGAGTTATAAAGAAGCGCAAGCTCGCCGAAGACATCGCCGGAGCCAACAGTTTTAACTAGCACTTCTTTATTGTCTTCTTCTCTATAACATTCAAGACATCCTGTCTCTACAACATATAAACAATCGCCGTCGTTACCCTGCTTTATTAATATCATGTCTTTAGGTATATCTCTCTCTTTCATCGCTTCTATTACTGTCGCAAGCTCCTTCGCACCCAGAGAATTAAACATAAATGATAAACTTAATATTTGCTGCGTACAACAAATAAATAAATAAATAAATAAATAAATAAATAAATAAATAAATAAATAAATAGATATGTATATAATTATTTGGTTATTAATGAACAGAGAATTAAACATAAATGATAAACTTAATATTTGCTGCATACAACAAATAAACATATAAATATATATATATACTATATATATAATATATATAATATATATATATATATGTAATTACTTGGTTGTTAATGAACAGAGAATTAAACATAAATGATAAACTTAATATTTGCTGTTTAAACAGATTAAATAAATATTTATTTATTTATTTGTTATTAAACAATAAATTAAACATAATATACTATACAGACAGTTTGAATTGTTCTGTTTATGCTTTACGATTTATGCTTTACGATTTATGCTTTATGGTTTACGATTTATGGTTTAGGGTTTAGGGTTTAGGGTTTAGGGTTTAGGGTTTAGGGTTTAGGGTTTAGGGTTTAGGGTTTAGGGTTTGTACGAACTTGAAGCCTTTCTCTTTGTTCAGGTGTCTTCGGATAGACAGGGGGTTTAAATTGTTGTTTCTGGTTCCAGTTACCGTAGACTTCTGCACATACACTCTGTCTCATTTTATTAAATCCTCTTATTTTATCTATTTTTATTTCTACGTCTTCTTCTTCTTCGCCTTCTTCATCATCTTCATCTTCTTCTTCACTCTCATCTGTGTCTTGAGTGCTGCGGTTGCTGCTGCTGTCAAACGCTACAACACGCTGCTGCTGCTGCTGTGGCTGCTGCTGCTGCTGTTGCTGCTGCTGCTGCTGCTGCTGCTGCTGCTGCTGCTCTAGGACTGTCTTCAGCTCCTGGCGAAGATGTGTTAATTCTGCAACAACGGCTTCATCAGTCTTGAAGGCAGCTGAGAGTAAATAAATAAATAAATAAATATATAAATATATAAATAAATATATTAATATATAAATAAATAAACTTTATTTGCTCGTTTGTTTTTTGTTTTGTCTAATTTTATTTTATTTGTTTGCGCTGCTGCTCTTTCTTCGTGCATTCATTCATACATACTATTACAGATATATACATGCATGCATGCATGCATGCATGCATAGTCATATATTGCATGCATGATTATACAGAGTGTAGATGCTGGTTTGCTGCTGTTATGCATGCAAATGCATGCATAAGAATAATACAAAACATATATATATATATGTTATATGATAATTTATGTTATATTTATGTCAACGCATGCATGCATATATGAACATATATATAAATATATATATATATATGTATATATACAAATATATACATATACACATACATATATGCATAATAATCTATCTATCCTTCTACATATATATATAAATAAAAACATAAACATATACAAATAAATATATATATATATATAAATATATATATATAAATATATATATATATATATATATATCTTGCCGGAGGTAGGGTCTGGGAGTTTGGCTTGCAAACAAAGCCGCGAAATCATGAAGGGCAGCGGGTCGGGCGGTAAATGCAGCAAAATTTCGGTGACAAGTTTCTCTAAGAGAGGGGCGAGCTTAGCTTGAATATACTCTTCATACTCTGCTCCGCTCATTCTATTCACACCATATACAAACCCTAAACCCTAAACCCTAAACCCTAATGTTACCCATAAACCCTAATGTTACCCATAAGCCCTAAACCCTAAACCCTAATGTTACCCACAAACCCTAAACCCTAATGTTACCCATAAACCCTAAACCCTAAACCCTAATGTTACCCATAAACCGTAAATATACTAAACCCTAATTATGCTAAACCCTAGTCGCTCAAGCGGAAGACACAAACTCTAGAACCTAAACCCTAAAGCTTAAGCCTAAAACGCAATCGGCAAGCACTATGCCTTAGTAAACCCCAAACCCTAAACCCTAGACGCTGAACGATAAACACCTACAGCAAGCCCTAAACCCTAATTACCCTGTCAGCTACCCCGTGGAGCATAAACCCTAGATCCTAGTGCTTAAAGCCTAAACTTCAAACCCTAAACCCTAAACCCTCAATTCTAAACCGCTGCTGCTGCTAATGAGGGGAGCGACGGAGGAGACAGAGCAAAGAGAGACAGCACGGGGAAACAAAGAGAGCAGCAGCAGCAGCAAAGACGTGCTGCTGCTGCTGTCGCTGTCTCCTTTTTAACAGCAGCAGCAGCAGCAACAGCAGCAGCAACAAGGTTTATTGCTGTTGCTGCTGATGCTGCTGCCGCATGCTGATCTAGAGAGACAGCAACGAGGAGACAGCGCATTGATAAAGAGAGACGGAGGTAAGGAGAAGCAGACAGAGATAAGAAGAAGCAAACGACAAACAGCTGCAAATAACCAGCAGCAGAACTGCTGCAGCACTACACAAATGCAGATAATAATACTCCCTCAGTGAAGCTAATAGCAGCAGCCGCAGCAACAGCAGCAGCAGCAGCAGGGTCAGGAGTTTGTTGCTGCTGTTGTTATTCTCTCTTTTATATTATATGCCGCAGCTGTCTGTACACCTCAATGTCTCTTCATAGATGTGCATTTAGCTCTGCTGTAAGAATATAATATTTGCTGCTTAGAGCTCCTTTGTTCTGCTGCAGTGCTGGCTTGCTGCTTTGCTGCAGTTCGGGTGTACGCACAGCTCAGAAGCAGCAGCAAAGAGATGCTGCTCTCACCTCGTTAGGAGACAAAGGGGCTACTGTATAAATGATGTTTGTTGTTGTTGCTGCTGCTGCAGCTGATTCTGCTGCTGCAGTTGCTGCTGCAAGTGTCTCTGTTGCTGCTTCTCTTTGTGCTGCAGCTGCTTCTTCTTCCTCTGTTGCTGCTGCTGCTACACACGTGGCGTGCAGCTGCAGTCGTTCGCCTGCAAGGAAGCAGCAGGGGCTTCAACTCAGGTATTCCAGCAGCAGCTCTATCCTTTGTTGTTGTTGCTGCTGCTGCTGTTGTTATCGTTGCTGCTGCTGCTGCTGTTTTTATGTTTGTTTGTTTGTTTGTTCGTATTCTGCTTTATTAACACTGAGCGGCGTGCAGTCTAAGCAGAGTACTTTAATTCTTTTTTCGCTCTGCTGCTCTGTATGGAGCCTGTGCTGTTTATATTTGGTTCTGCTGCAGCAGATGTCTTAGCTGCTCGCAGCAGCAGCAGCAGCAGCCGCAGCGGCAGCAGCAGCAGCAGCAGCAGCAGCAGCCCTAGACAAGAGCTCCAGTGTACGTACGTACACCGCACCGCTTGGCTTCCGCACCGCCTTCTTCTGAGTAAATTTTTATGTAAAAAATAAAATAATTAAAATAAATTAATGCATTTAAAAGGCGAAAAATAATTAAAATTAAATTTAAATGCAGATTTCCTTCGCAGTCACTGTGGTGGAGAGTCACCCCTTATCCCCTCGCCTGCCTCTCAGGTGTACCGGCAGCTCTTCTTCAGCAGAAGAGTTTAAAAAACACGAATATAAACAATTAAAATATAATTATAATATAAAATACAAATAATTTAATTAAAAACACAAATAAAATCCCCAATTTAAACAACAATATTCAGAAATCTCCCAGCCAGAGTACAACAGCAAACAAATTACTGAGGTGTACATACACCTCAAATGCATGCATTGAAGTGCATATATACAGAAATAATAATAAAAGTATAAATATAAATAAATATTATTATATATTTCACAGTATACCAATATATACCTACACGAATGGGCAGCCAATATATACACACATATACATGCATATAAAATGTATACGTATGTACTTCTGTATATATATATATATATATTAATGTATGTATGCACATGCATTTATAGATCTAGTTAAATGTATACACGATAGACATATACATATATATATATATATATACTATCTATATATATATTATATATATTTAACTAGATCTATAAGTATATGTTTTCATATATATATATATATATATATATATATGCATTGAGACCCATTGACT